GCATAATGCCTTCCAAGTACATCCATGCTGTCACAAATAACAGGATTTTCTTCTTTTTAAGGCTGAGTATATTCCACTGTATGTATATACCACATCTTCTTTGTCCATTCATTGGTTGATAGACACTTAGGTTGTTTGCATATTTTGACTGTGGTGAATAATGTTCCAATGAACATGGAGGCACAGATCTCTCTTTGAGATCCTGATTTTAATTCCTTTGGATATATACCTAAAAGTAGGATTGGTGGATCATATGGTAGGTAAATCTATATTTATCTGAAGAACATCCATACTGTTTTCCATAATGACTGCACCAATTTACATTCACAAAAACAGTATACAAGTGTTGCTCTTTTCTCCATATCTTAACCAATATTTTTTATTGTTTTTCTTTTTGATAATAGCCATTTTAACAAATGTGAAATCACATCTCATTGTGATTTTGATTTGCATTTCCTTGATCACATTTTTATGTACTTGTTAGCCATTTGTGTTTTGCCCATTTTTAGTTGGATTTATTTGGCATGTGATCTTTTTAATGTACTGTTGAATTAGGTTAGCTAATTCTTTGTTCAGGATATTTGCTTCTTTGTTAATCAGGGGCATTAGGCTGTAATTTATTTTCTTGTAGTGTCCTTGTTTGACCTTGTTCTCAGGGTAATCTGGCCTCATAAAATGTTTTTGAAAGTGTTTCCTCTTCTTCAGTATTTTGGAAGTGTTTGAGAAGGATTGGTTTTAGATTCTTCTTTAAATGTTTGGTAGAATTCACCAGAGGCAATCTGATCTGGACTTCTGTTTATTGGGAGGTTTTGATTACTAATTCAATCTCCTTATTAGTAATTGATTTGATCAGTTTTTTTTTTATTTCTTCACAAGTTATTCTTGGTAGGTTGTATGTTTCTAAGGATTCATGTATTTCTTCTAGGTTATCTAATTTGTTGGTGTATAATTGTTCATTGTAGTTTCTTATGATCCTTAGTGTTTCTGTGTTAACAGATGTAATGTCTCCTCTTTTATTTCTTATTTTATTTACTGAGTCTTATCTCTTTTTTTCCTTCACTAATCTACCTAAAGTTTTATTAATTTTTTCTTCTCAAAAAAAAGAGTTTTAGTTTCATTGACCTTTTCCATTTTTTTTTTTTGTCTCTATTTTATGTATTTCCACTCTGATCTTTAATTCTTTCCCTCTGCTAACTTTGGGCTTAGTTTGTTTTTTCCTTTCCAGTTTCTTGAAATATAGTCTTAAGTTTTTTACCTGAGAATGTGCATTCTGCTGTTGTTGGATGAAATGTTCTGTGTATGTCTATTAAGTCCATTTGGTCTAACATGTAGTTTAAGTCCAATACTTCCTTATTGATTTTCTATCTGGATGATCTATCTGTTGTTGAAAGTTAGGTATTGAAGTCTTGCTATTATTATACTGCTCTCTATTTCTCCCTTCTGATCTGTGAACATTTGCTTTGTATTTTAAGTTCTCTGATGTTGGGTGGATAAATATTTACAATCATGATATCCTCTTGATGAATTGATCCCTTTATCATTATATAATGACTTTCTTGTCTCTTATTACAGTTTTTGGCTTAAAGTCTATTTTGTGTGATATAACTACCCCTACTTTCCTTTGGTTTCCATTTTTATGGAATATATATATTTTTTTATTCCTTGACTTTCAATCTATATGTGTCCTTAAAGCTGAAATGAGTCTCTTGCAGGCAGCCATCTTTTTTGATGGCTGAATCTCGAATCTTTTTTTAAAAATTTATTCAGCCATTCTATGTGTTTTGATTGGAGAATTTAATATATTTACATTTAGAGTAATCATTGAGAGGTATGGACTTACTATTGCCATTTTTAAATTGCTGCTCTTTTGTAATGTCTTTTTTCCTTTTTTCTTTTCTTGCTATTTTCTTTGTGATTTGATTGCTTTGGTTTCTTTCCCTTTATCTTTTGTTTATATACTGTATGTTTTTTGCTTTGTGGTTACATTAAGCTAACATAAAAAATCTTGTAACTTTTGACATTTTAATTATAATGTGTTTCAGTGTGGGTCTCTTTAGATTCTTCTTATTTGATACTGTTTGGGCATCTTGGGTCTGGATGTCTATTTCTTTCCCCAAATTAGGAAAGTTTTCAGCCATTTCGGTTATTTCTTTGAATAAGATTCCCACCTCTTTCTGTCTTCTCTTTCTGCAACCAGTATTTTGTGTATATATTTGTTCTCTTGATGATATCCCATAAGTCCCTTAAGCTATTTTCACTTCTTTATTCTTTTTTCCTCCTCTGGTTGTATGAATTCCATTACACTGATTTTGAGTCTGCTGATCTTTTCTTCAGCTTCATGTAGTCTGCTGTTGAAGTCCTCTATTAAATTTTTCAGTTATTGTATTCTTAGGCTCTGTGATTTCTGTTTGGTACTTTTTAATATTCTCTATCTCTTTGTTGAAATTGTCACTTTGTTCATGCATTCCTTTCCTGACCTTGGAGAGCATCTTTATGACTGTTATTTTGTATTTATTGAGTAAGCACTTACATTTGTTTCATCAAGATCTGTTTCTGGAAGTTTATTTTGTTCTTTTGTTTGGAACATATTCTCCTGTTTCTTCATTTTCCTTGACTCACTCACTGTGTTGGTTTCTGTGCATTAAATACAACAGACACTTTCCCCAGTCATGACAGATTGTTCTCATGTAGGACATGAATCTCATCAATTAGCCCAGCCTTAGCTCCTGGTTAGCCCTCAAAATTTTGTGATTGTTCAAGTCATGGTCTTTGTTTTTAGTGGTTCCCTATAGTTGAGGGTATGCTAAGACCCATCACTGTCCTAAAGGAAAGGATCACAGTCAGCACCTAGATGGAGACTGATTAGAAGCCAGATCCCAGGAGCAACTGGAAAAGTATCCAGTTAAACCACTTCCAGAGAGTATCTGGGGGATAGACATTTTGTCCACTCTCTCTGCATTTAGCCCAGATTTATACCCACAGGCAATGGCTTTATTTCTTTGATGGTGTTCTCATTCCTTGAATTTTTTATGCTCATTAAGGACTTGCATTACTGCATTCTAGTTTAAACATTAGTCACCTCCTCCAGTCTTTACTGACTGGCTTTGGGAGAGAAAGATCTTTACTTATCAGCATGGTCAGGGATTCTCAGGGTTTCAGAACTTTTCTATGGTTGTGCCTGCTCCACCTCTCTAATTCTCTTTTAGCATGGGGGTGGGGAGGGAATCTTAGGATTGTGTGCAATATCTCCATCCCACAAAATCAGGTTGGTTGCTAAGAGCTTCCCATTTATTTTCCCTAAGGCAGTGTCCTGAAGTTGTTGAAGTTGTACTCCTACTGCCAATCCAGTAGAGTCAAACCAGCTGCTAAGATTTGTAACTGCTACTGGGATCCACATCTCTCTGCAAAAGCTTGCATGTGCCATTTTCAGCACTGGGGGTAGGTGTTGGCTAACTGGGGATTCTGTAGTTGTCCTGTGGAGTTTGTGGGTGAACCTCTTGGTGCAATTCATGAGCCAGTTACCAGGATTCATGGCTGGCTGTTGAGATCCATGTGCCAATTTCTGTGAGGCCCTTCCCCTTTTCCCTGCTTACTAGCTGCTGAGAGTTGCCCCCTGATAATTCAACAGTGCCAATCCCCTCAGTATTCTGGATGGGATGGGATGGAAGTGGGCCTCTTGGACAGTGTCTTGCAAAGTGGGTGAAGCCAGGTGTTCACTTCACTTACTTTTCCTCATGGGAGAATCCCAGGCCAAAGAGGTCTTTCTCAGCACCAATTTGCACCACCTCGAGGAACAGAAGATGCAGGGAAAGTGAAACTGCTTTTCTTACCCTTTTCAATGCATCCACCTGAGTGCTGGAATCTCTCAGCCAGACTCTGGGTCTCCCACAAAGGTATTCTCATATGTGGATGGTTGTTCATATTGGTGTTTCTGTGGAGGATTGTGGACCAGAACTTCTTATTCTGCCTTCTTGCTGATGTCATTATTCACACATATTTCTAAGTCCCCTTTATCCTTCAGGCTGCTACTTCTTTTGGCAAGTTTTTGGGTAACATATGGGATGCTTTCTCACATATTAGATGAGATCTTAAGCTCTTTGTCTTGTATGTTTATATTCTTATATTACAATAACTGACATATTCATTCCATTCAATTATGTTTGAATAAATTAAATAATATTGCATGTTGGCTATATATAATGAATCATGGAACACTTCATCAAAAACTAATGATGTACTGTATGGTGACTAACATAACAATAAAAAACAAAGAAACAAACAAAATTTTTTAAACAGGCTTTTGGGCATCCTCATCTCTCCTTTATATTTTATCTTGCTTTCCTCTTCCCAGATTTGTAGGATCTTCATGATGTCTGTAAGGACTTTTATAGTCAGCATCTAAGTATCTGTTCAGCATCCCTCTTTTTTGGATGCTTCTCATTCTGCTTCTTTTCAGTGTTCTTATGCAGTTCATGTTGGAACTACCATGTTTTTTATACAGTGTTGATGACTAGAAATAGTTGATCGGCTCTAGAATGATCCAAGATAAAGTATGACACAACCAGATTTCTTTTCTGGAACCATTTGAACCAAAACTGAGGAATTGAAGGAAACAGCGTTTTTTGTTTGTCTGTTTGTTTTTGGCGGCATATTTTTAGGAGAGGTGAAAATTCATGTTCTGTAGAAAAATTTGGTATATAGTAAGAGACCACACACACACATACACACACACACACATGCACACAGACACATTCACCCAAAAAGACAGAGAAGTTGATATATACAGAAAGATAGTGACAAGATTTTGAGAATGGTTTAAGGTGATGTTCAGGGTCTTGACATTACTTGTTTGTAACACTCAGCTTTTACTTTTACTCTTAATGCAGTCATGCCCTTTTCTTACCAAATGATTTCAGGTGATTTTCCATCACTTGAAACTGAAGAATTTTGAATAGCGATCTCTATTTAGAGAATTTAGATAAAGAATATGAAAAGAGGCAGAGCCTACTGTGCGGACCCTGGTTGACCATGCTGTCCCGGGTGGTTTTTTCTGCGGCCGCCGCAGCGGCCCCCTGTCTGAAGAACGCAGCCCTCCTTGGTCCAGGGGTATTGCAGGCAACAAGGATCTTCCACACAGGGCGGCCAAGTCTTGCCCCTGTACCACCTCTTCCTGAACATGGAGGAAAAGTTCGTTTGGGGCTGATTCCCGAAGAATTCTTCCAGTTCCTTTATCCCAAAACTGGCGTAACAGGACCCTATGTGCTTGGAACCGGACTTATCCTATATTTTCTGTCCAAAGAAATATATGTGATTACTGCAGAGACCTTCTCTGCCATATCAACAATAGGGTTGCTTATCTATGTAGTTAAAAAATATGGTGCCTCTATTGGAGAATTTGCTGATAAACTCAATGAGCAAAAAATTGCCCAACTAGAAGAGGTGAAGCAGGCTTCCATCAAACAAATCCAGGATGCAATTGATATGGAGAAGTCACAGCAGGCCCTGGTTCACAAGCGTCATTACCTTTTTGATGTCCAGAGGAATAACATTGCTATGGCACTGGAACTTACTTACCGGGAACGGCTGCACAGAGTATACAAGGAGGTGAAGAATCGCCTGGACTATCACATCTCTGTGCAGAACATGATGC